ACCAAAATTTGGGTCTCTATAATAAGTCCCCTTGCTAGAATTTTTCATTTGCTCTTCTTCTCTTATTAATCGTTCATATCTAATCACGTTCGCGCTCAATTGGAAAAGATCAGGAAATTCCTTATCTTGGAACTTCTTTTTCAAATCAAAGTTTAGACAACCTTAAGCAATTTTGACAAACTCCTTTTCGGGCAAAGATACAAAATATTTACTTCTTGCTGTTTTGAACCTTTAAAAGAAACCTTCTGCCCATTCGTTTGGCATTTGACGTAGATTCTCCAAATCGGTGAAAGTAACTTCGGACTCAGTCTTATAAAATTGAGCGTGGAACAATTGCTCCAATTGTTGCCATATTTGAACAAATTTCGTTGGCAAATTGATGAACCAGGAAAAAGCTACTCCTATTAATGAACTAGGGAACAGCCTCATTTTATGGTAATCAGTTACGTCACCACTTTGCAGTGTGAATCGCCCTATGTGTTCTAGAATAGACACCTCTCCTAAATCGGTAAATAGTGAGAATTCTGGCACTTTATACCCTCTAGGCCATGGATATGCTTAGTCTACCCAATCAGGGTATGGCTTTGTATAAGTCGGCCTAATGACAGGACGTACCCTAAAAGCCATTTGATCCTGTACTATTTCCATAATTTGATTCCTCAACATGACGTTGGGGTCATATGGAATTCCTATAGGTTGGTTGACCGATTGATTTGCTTGAGGCCTGATATTTGGTCCTTGGTTGTCAACAAAGTTGCCATGATTTGGGCCATTGTTACCATTAGCCTGAATATTTATTCCATCATTAACACGTGGGGTATTCTACCCATTATTTAGGACATTATCTCTTACAATTTGGTTACCTCCCAAATTAGATGTACCAATGCTACTATTCTGATTTGGTATTACACCACCCCCTGGTTTGAAGTAGAGGGATCAAAAGGTGGTTCTACCCCTTGATTTCAACTTAGGATCGGGGGATTATGTCCCACAACTGTCCTAGTTTGAAAGTGGTTTGCAAGAGGCACAACTGGCTAACAAATTTGGCCTACTAACTTATTCATTATTTCGTTCCAAGTATTCAGTTGTTTGGCCATGTTATCATAATGTGCATTCCCATTCTGGGTAAATCTTTCCATATTATGAATATTTCGTAGATTTACCTGTTCAACGACATCTTGTGTGAGTTCTCCGAGTAATGCACGCATGGTTCGAGGACTCAACTCTGTCACTGGTTCGTAACGACATTGATTGCTCTGATTCTGTCCATCTGTTCGGCGAGAGCTATGCTGCTCCTCATATCGCTCGATCACAGACTGGACTCCTCCCTGACTTGCTACTTCCTTATCGGATTTCTGAGGCATATTGTTTCACATTTTTTATCTTCAACACCAAACACCAAGGTCCCATCGGGCGTGCCAAATTGTTTCGCGCGGGTAGTCGCTAACAATTAAAAAGGGATCAGATGATTGTGTAAGGAACAAACCTCTTGAGACAAAGTCCCAAAAAGGGGTATTTTATTGGCGATGACTTTACAATTGGAACTAAATAGAATGCCTCCAAGGGGCGCAAGCACACGAGTATTGAAAAGAAATGTTTAAGTCTAAACTAAGAAATTGAAATTACATATTCTCTGTTTGAGAGTGTTTTATTCGGGGTCCTTTGCTCTATGTCTTTTCTTCCTTTTATATTCCATTGATGATCTCTTCGTAATCAACCGCTTAGAAACTGCTTAATTGCTTTATAACTGCCCACTTTCTTCATGGTGGCCAACTTATCGTGAAACTACCGTCTCTAACTGCTGCCACTACTCTTTGTCGTTCAACCGTCTTCAA